AGATAACGTATTAGCGGAATTTGAGTGCATAATGTCACTGTTGCTGTACCACTGTATGGTACGGCTGTGGTAGCTTGCAAGGGAATATATCGATAACAAATGTTCAAATGGTTTCTAAGATATTTAGCGGGGGACACACAAATAAACGGACACTCGCAAAAGAAAAAGAAAGCCGTAAGTCGGTGTTGAAGCCGCTCTATGAGTCAAACTCGGTGGCGCCGGATGTCAGATTCCCAACCAGAATTCCTAAGAGTTCAAATCTCGGCGCGTTTTATATGTTTAAATCTATTTTTTTTCATATTTCCTTAAATGCCCTACAATATTCCAGAACATTATAGATAATTCTATCCCCGAATATCCTAGAAACTTCCTGTTAACTTTGGCGGAACCCTCATATGAAATGGGGCCATTTTAGCAACGGCCTTCACTCACTTCATTGAAGCTCTCCTCTTCAATAAGGGAAGGATACCGGACGGCGAAAATGGCCAAACAGAACATGAATGTTGTCAACAAATTATTAATGTACGCGGAGAGTTTATTGTAGTAAATAAGAATTGGAACATTTTACTGCTCGTATGAACCCAATTTCCATACTGGAAGAGTGTATATTTCCTAAAACAAAAAGGACACAATACTGAAAGCACATAAGTAATTTAATTCTCGTACGAATGACTAATTTCCTTACAGTGATTCTTCTAAACACTTTAATTCTTTGAAACCGTTTGTTGCAAGAGAGCCGATCACAGCGGCTGCGCGGTCAAAGGCACTGTCTTCGCTCGCTCTAACAATGGGGTCCTGGGTTCGAATCCCATTCAAGGCATGTATGACTATGTGTGCGTTTATTCTGTTTGTGTTCTGTGTGTAGGTAAGGCCTTGCGACGGGATTATCCCAGGTCCAAGGAGTCCTACTGACTGTGTAAGATTAAGAACCTGAAAAAGCGGCCAAGGTTCATCAAAGGGTTGTACAGCCATAGATAGATTGATTGATTTCCTACTTCACATTGAACACAAATCACACATCACTTTAGAAATCCATATCCTACCTCACAGAAACACAAATCACACATCACTTTAGAAATGCACTTTTTTTTTTAACCATTCCTGTAAGAGGCCGTGAAGGCCCATAGGGTTGTGAGACGTTGAGGGTCCCACATTATCTAGACAATCGGCTCAAAGATGGCGGTAAGGTTGTCAGCTTTACGCGCCGGCCGCGCTTTACTCCCCAGGAAAATTATTCAATTAATTTGTGGTACTGATTTCTGTTAGAGGCTGAGTCGACCCCAGGGCCATAGTGTGGCTGGAAGGATTAGGTCTGTTGAAAAAAATCCAATGACCTCATCGTGACTTGAACCCGCGACCTTCCGGCTTGTAGCATAGTGCCTCAACCAGCTACTATAAATGCACTTCCTACCTCATATTAAACACAAATCACACATCACAGACGCCAGGTGATTAATGATGACTGGGAAAACGGCCGTTTATTCCGTGCGTAAATAGCTTAATAAAAGAAGGCAGTTTTCGATATTTAAAGGAGATGGTACATATATTTAAATTTATGTTTTGAAGGGTTAATATTTAAGTATTTTAGTAGTGGATGAGATCTATAAATATCAGATAACAAACAACCCCTCTCTGTTATACGTGACCCCTTTATATAACTGTATGTTATTCTGCGATATAAAATAGATTCATGTTCGATCTATATTTCAGTGTGATTTATTTTAATGGTTATTATTCTGTCTGTATAGAACTCAGTTGAATGCACTTGCATGGAACATGTCTGTCACTCTAATTGCTAATCTTTTATTGTATCAGAAATGCAACCCATGTAGTTGTATCAGACAAAGTGACGATAAAACCTCAACTGCGAGATGAAATATTAAAGTCTATTTCCGTGCATGTCGTCGTGTTATTTGGTGCCCCTTCCCCACTACATACAGCTAAAAGACTTGGTGCAAAAAGGATACATTTAAACGACGTAAAGTTACGTGCTGCGGAAGGTATAATTACATTTGATACGATTCAGTATATATAGGACGTACAGTCAGGGTTGGATATGGCTTTATAGAAGTAGGCACGCTATTCAGATCAGTAAATAATCCCTAGGGGAATGACCAACGTATGTTAAAAGAAAATTATTACCATAAAATATTGAGGGGAGGGTGCGGATTGGATTCAGCTGGCTCAGGATAGGGACCAATGGAAGGAGACGACTTGTACCGGCGTATATCCTCATGATCAGTGGTCTCTATAATGATATTAAACGTAAACCAAAGGATATGTGTGCACTAAGGGGGCACTTCCGGCATAACTCCATGGAGCTGAGTCTTTCTTGAGAAACTGCCACTCACTCAGCCACTCAAGATTTCCTCAACATTTAACAGAACCCAGAGGTTCATTACCGTATCTGGTCTTGATCCCAGCCCCATCTTCTTTCTTTAAGATCCATGTATATATTGTAACGTGCCACCTACGTCTGTGTCTTCCTAGTGGTCTCTTTCCTTCTGACTTCCTCACCAAAATCCTGTACGCATTCCCCTATGCTTATGCGTGCTACATGTCCTGCATATCCCCTGTAATTATATTTGGTGAGGAGTAGAAGTTGTGAAGCTCCTTATTATATGGTTTTCTCCAACCACTGTCACTTCATCTCTATTCGGTCCAAATATTCTCCTCAGCACACTGTTCTCAAACACCCTCAGTCTGTGTTCCTCCCTTAATGTCAGAGACCAAGTTTCACACCCATATAGAACCACAGGTAAAATTACAATTCTGGATATTCAAATTTATACGTTTTTAGACAGCAGACGAGAAGACAGAAGGTTGTGGACCGAATGGTAGCAGGCATTACCCGAATTCAGTGTCCTCTTATTTTCCTCCTGAATCAAGTGTTGATTTGTTACCGTCGTTCCCAAATATTTGTACTGTGCCACATTTTCAAAGCATCTGTTAACTATATTTATGTCATGATTTTTCCCTGCGTTTTGGTGACGAGACAGCAATGTATACTTAATTTTCTCCGGCATAAGGATTTACAAATGAAATAAATAAGGCTATGGTGAAGTCAGCTTTTGTAATAAACAAAGGTGGCATTCACTTCCATCTATACAATGTTATGTGATATTCAATTTGGCGAGAAGTAAATAACAAACATAGGCCGATAATGAATAAGTAAGCAGTCAGCACAAGGGGTTCGGGCCCTTATTGCCATGGAGTACTACATTAAAAGGAAACAAATCTAATTTCAGTGCACTATCAACTCAGTAAAGTCTTTATTTCTATTTCTAATTGCTACAGTTTCCAGTTTCCCCCGTTGATTATTGAACATGCAAGTTCGGAATTGTACGTAAAACTTTTTTGATGAATTACCTCAAAACGCAAAAGATTTACAGAAAACTTGTGCTGGGCATGTAATGTGTGATCTTTTTTCTATATAGAATTTGTGCCCAAAACATTTTTCTCAGCTGTGAATGTTCAGAGTTACGCTCGTAATTTCGTAATACGCAGAGAAACGCTTTTACGTTTTCATATAAAGAGCATGTTATTTTTAATCCAATTCAAGCAAACCTGGAAAGAGTCCACAAATTTTCAGGTAACTCATTAGTATCATATTTTGTGAGTATCCATCGACTGTTCATGATTGGACAGACACAATATGAAAACGTAAGAGGCTGTTCGAAGGAATGTAGAGGTCTCTAAGAAGGGAAGACCTGTTGTGTCATGAATTCTGATATGTAAATCAAAAGACAAACTAGAAATATTATGCAAATAATCGATTTCTACTACTATCAGAAATATACACTTGAAGGCTTGTATCAGCGACATATAACACACAACAAGTAAACAACGAATTACCGGAAAGGGGAAGTGTCAGCTGATGAACGAAGGCGTAAAAGAACATTTTAACAAAATACAGGAATAATTTGGAAACAATTTAACCAAGCTTTAGGAGACCGTAAAAGATCCAGTGCAACAATTATGTCAAAAGTACAAGATCTCATAAGGTCGAAGCTTATTATAGAAATATTGTAACGAGTACAGATGTTGTTGTGCAGTAGGTGAATCAGTAAACACGCCTAAAACAATAGATGTTTTCAGTTAGGTTGGCCCCGAGGCTGTGTGACGAGGATCCCATGCCAGAGTTGAAGGTTGGCAGTTCAGTTGAGCTCGGCAAGAGAAGCTAAGAAAGGATGACGCCATAGTTCAGTTGCTAGTTGGCAATTAACATTTGTTAGTTGAGGGAATTGACGAGTTATACACGGGCGGCTGTGACAAGAGAGCCTGAGCGTAGGAAGATGAATCTCCACTGTTAGAAGCCGTTGACAGGGAATGGCTGGTTAAGACACAGCATGGTGTAAAAGGCTAAGCGGATGCTTTGATTTGTAAAGCTTGGAGATTAGCAGTAGCATTGTAGTTACTTGTAGTTCCAAGTGATGTCAGTAAATGCAATATCCAGTCCATACCCCATCTAGTCACATCCCTAATAATGTAACCATATTATTTATAGAAAAGTGACAACGTAGCCCACAAACTGTCTTCACGCACAGCAAGAAAACGAGCCTTCCAGGCTCCACCTGCAAATTGAAACGTCATATCAGTGACGTTAGATTTTTGAACATAGCAAGAAGAAATGTATTTTTATTTGCAAGCTTTGAATAACGAATGAATAAAATATAAAATCAATGACGTATGGAAAGTGGCATGTAGGAAGCCATCTTCATTATCGGCAGTGACTTGATACCCCTTACGACGATTTCGAAGGGCACACTTGGAGGGCTGGAGCGGGGAAGGTCAGACGGTGTACCCTGAGAGTGACAGAAGAAACAGCTACAGGATGGATTGACCGACTTGACTCATTGATTCCAACAGCTAATCGATATGTCGACTGTTATTCGAGACCCGATGAGTCATTGCCATATGTCGACTGTTATTCGAGACCCGACGAGTCATTGCCACAGAACGTCTTTAAGAAAAGGGCAGTCGGCTGACAGCCAGGTAATGCGATCAGATACCAGCGCGAGAGAGGTAATGTATAGAATAACGCACCCGCCATCTTGACCTACCCATACCATTATGGAGCCGTCTGTGGTGAGTTGAAGTCAGCTGTCCTTATGCTTCATTGAGCATCACGTGATGCAGATGTATGGAGGAGTGGAAGTATATCACAACGCTTTCTTGACCTCTGCACTAAATAGAGGAAAGTTACAGCTTCATTTCCCGGCCGCTTTATCCACGACGAAATAGCCCCCTGTAACGAATAAAAGTAGGACAGGATATTGAATGGGACCTGGAACTGCTTGCTCAGGGTTAAGCAGTTATGTGTTGCCCTTTTCCGGAAATTGAACCCTGATTCCTCGGTTGTCCAGCCCGTAGCCTAATGTCGAGCTCGCAAGGGCATCTGTGGAGCATTCAAAACTCAGTATCGAGTGCAAACCTTGTAGCTGCTTGCCATGAAGAAGGTGGTTCTCGAAATTGTGTCGATTTACTGAATACTGCACTCAGATATTGTATTGTGGCATATTTTGTGAGAAATTGTACTATTATTCTTTTGACACAGCTGTTTGTAAAAATACGCTATATGTTATGTATTAATTAGTACATGTTTCGGCCTTATTGGCCATTATCAGGTGTATATTTGTACAGTGGTTAAATTTACTTTTTTCCCCTCTAGTCTGCCAGTTGTCCCTAAAATTACTATATTAGGAATAGATTGTTGAAATTAAAATAACGTCTTTAAAATTTGAGGTTTTATAAATTAAGAGTTTATATTCTGGAATATGACAGGATGGACTCCAAAAACGACAGCGTTGGTAGTCATCTACCAGTCAGAACGCTGTCATAACTCAGAACGCCTTCATCTAAACCGAAGTTATATGTTGAGGGAATAGAAGGAAAGTACCTAATTCTGTGGTGCAGCCGAGTCCTTCAGATGGAACCCCAAGGTTCATTACCGCCGTCAGACGAGCCCTCCACTCTACCGAATGTGGTTATGTATCGTGAAAATATCTTAAACTATGTTAAAAGGTTGTGAATTAAATTTGGGTAAATTGAATAAAATTGGTAAAATGAGTGTAGCTGGGATACTTTTAAGTTTTTGTTTTTTAATGTGTCGTAAGATAGCATTTTGAAAAAGAATCCGACCGTGTGCCTTAGTACCAATTTCCGATTTACTTGTTAGGTCCTCTTTCTTAAGAGCTAAATGCAACACGTGGTCTAGGCCTCGTCTAGGTGAAAGAATCTGATTAACTTGAACTAGTTTTGTGATGAATGCACTGCCTTAATGAACTAGAAAATTCTGTTTATTTTTTTTTTTTTTTGCTTTAAGGTAATTGAAGATAAGAGAAGTGTACACCCAAATTTGGACATTTGCGCCAGAGAACGGCAGCTTTTTGTGAAGGCACTGATGAACAAAAGCAAAGGTTCACTATTACCATGCTGAAATGAAGCAGTGCCTGACAAAGGAGCTGGGTTGGTAGGGAAAGTTTTCAGGAGGCGAGCGCTGTCATATACTGGGAGTGCTTCCTGAGGGCAGAAATCTCATCACACACAAGGGCCTGTCTTGTAATATAAGATCGACGTAGAAGCGCCTCAAAGCCTCGACACACGAAGTGAAACTGCACTTTTAAAGCATGTGTCGAATGGACATCACACCATCTTCAGTGCCAAACTCGATGTACACTTGAAACGAGATAGGGTCATTGCCAGTTTGTGACGTAAACCGTTATGTCATCATTAGAAATTTACTGGATTTTCAGCATACTTCCCGATAGTCATACTCCAGATTACGGATATGCTGTTCCCCTGAATTCACATTAGTGATTGCTGCTATCATAGTCTCCAGTAGAGTTATGGAAGTAGCAACTATTTCTACCAGCTTCTCTGAAGGATAGGTGGATGACTGTTCTTTATCACTGTGCTTCTTGAAATATATGAAGCTCTGGATAGTATGATCGCTTGAAATATGTCAGACATGTCTTGCATGCATCATAACTGAATATGACGCAGCATGTCTGGTAGTGAAACTGCCAACACATGCTACTGAGAGCACCTCCATGTCAATAGCAAGTACAGTGAGATGTAATTTGTGTCAAATCTTCCTCCACAACATGGAGACTGTCAGGGATATCATCAGGGTTACTTGTGAAGCGATTACACGGAGAAGCATAAAGAACCATGAACGAGGAATATGGGTTTTCAGAAGAGTAGAACCATCCTCCTTGCAATTCCATATAGGCCTATAAGCAAGGCAATTGATGTCAGCCTTCTGGGCACCTATAAACTGTCACATGTGTGGGTTATCATTTGAACTACAGTATGAATGAATAGTACCAAATGTGTTCTGAGGGGTTCCTTATTCTGGTTGTGTGTCTGAAAGTACTTGCCTCTTTTGTTGCTCTCTATATGCTGGGGCAGACGTGTCAATTAGCAAAACAGCCCTTTACAGGGCCACTGTATATTCCTGTTGTCTCCTACTGGTTCACTTGGGGGTTATGAGAGAGACCAGTGGTTTCATTCTGTCCCACATTGAGGCAATGGGAACTGAGGTCCATTCTTCCATGCCCCTCCTGCTTGAATGAATGAATGTATAAGGGGTGGGCCTTCTCGGCCCTTGCACCGTGACCTACGGTGGTCTATTGTGCTTTCCCTCTAGCTTCCTATATACGATGGGGTACCCAATAGAAACCGAACTAATTTTTTTGTGGGCAGAGCTTTTGTTGTACCGCGTTATTGCAGCTATGAGCGCATAGAGCTAACATTCCTGAATCGATAAGCCAACTACCGTTGCTTCAGAAGGTAAGGACTAGTTTTGGCAGAGTTTATAGTGACAACTGTTGTGTGTGATCATCGTTTTTGCAATGGCTGATTTTCGTGAACAGTGTGCGGCAGTGAAATTCTGTTTTTGCTCGGGAAAAGTGGAACAGAAACCCTTGAAATGTTAAAAACGGCGTACAAGGATGATGCTAAGGGGAAAACTCAAGAGTTTGAGTGGTTTTCCCGTTTCAAAAATGGTGAAATGTCAATTGATGACAAACCTCGTTCTGGTCGTCCTTCCACGGACCGAACACATGAAAATGTCGAAAAAAATCGTGAAATCATCAAGGAAGATCGACGACGGACGATTGAAGAAATTGTGGAGCTGTTGGTAGTGACTTGGAGCTCAGTTCAGCAAATTTTGACAGAAGATTTGGGAATGAAAAGGGTGGCTGCGAAATTCATGCCACGACTGCTGACTGCTGAAAAAAAGCAAGGTCACGTGGAAGCATGCTGTGCTTTGAAAGAAGAGTCCCGAGTCCTCGAATGAAAAGAGACATGAAAGGAAAGCGTTTTGCTGATGTTGCTGAGGTGAAGGAAAAAACGACGAAGGCGCTGTCAAGCATCTCAAAAGATGAATTTAGACAATGTTTTGAAAAATGGAATAAAAGACTAGACAAGTGTATTAGTGTAAGTGGAGAGAACTTTGAAGGGGATTGAAGGTTTGTGCTTAAAATTTGAATAAATAAGTTTAAAAAAAAATAAGTTTGGTTTCTTTTGGGTACCCCCTCATAATTCAAAATTTCTGGCCAGCTGATTAAAACATGGCAGGCTTATCCTCTCATCAGAGAGAACACCTCACAGCTGTAACTGTCTAACAGTAAGTAATCTTTTGACTTGAACTGCAGATGGAACTCAGCAAGACAGAGAGACTGACCACCTCATTTAAGAGGCATGTCTACATGAGTGAAAGCCATCATGTCCTGAGCCTCCTGCAAGATCCTATCAGTTGTGAGTGCCCCCTGGAAGGGTCTGAGAATAATCAGCCAGCAGTGTATCTGATGGCTGCTGTCCACCCTCAGTAGCAACTTCTCGTGCTGCCTCACTGCCACGTCCCAGTTTCACCATCCAAGGCAGCTCCTGTGAGGAAATCATGCAAAATCAAGTCAACTCCTAAGCCAGTCATTTTCAAACAATGAATGCACATTTATGCAATCAAAAACATTATCTCATCACATCAGAGTCCCTACTCATACAATTCTGATATCGCATAAACTCGTGACAAAATTATTTTTGTGCTAATTTTTTCAATAACAATGTTCCACAACCTGAAGCAGAAGAAGAAATATAAAAATGCGATACTTCACAACATTCCCATACTTTTACTGCTCAGGAAGCCACCCTGAAGTAAAGTGACTAGGCTGTGGGCTGGGCAGCTCAGCAATCACCGCCAACTCCTTGCAAGTGAAAGAGATCTTTCTCTGCTCCAGCATCCAGACTGACTCTGGAGCCACCCACAATCCTGTCCAATGGGGATAAACTG